TTCTCAAGCCGGTGTTATATATATATATATATATATATATATATATGTATTCGTCACAATAACCTTGTTTGCAACACCGGGTGACCATTGGATAGACAGTTCTTTCAGAGCCAGTCCATTAAAGAATCAATGCTATGATTCGATATTTTGCAATTGGATTAGATGCTACCAACGCAACAAACGTGACCGGATGGCCTTTGTAGGATATTTCACTATCAGTAGAATGTGAATGACTAGTATATGAATGAGCTGACAAAAGATTACCGGAAACGCATGCCTGACGAGCGGCAAGAACCGCGAAACCGGTCGTGTGTTTCCCGGGGGGACTTTATCTAGTCATTCACATACTACTTATAATTGTTGCGGTATGCTACAACCTATTCACAGCTAACCTTTTCCGGTGAAGGTATACCTTTATCCACAACCCGGGAACGCGCCTGGTAGCATTCAGCTCTGCTTAACCCGAGGGTATCCAGGAACAACGTTACAACACCTTTACACCTTACTTTACGTGAGGAAATTGAGCACATATGTGTTGGTCTAGATTATTTGAAACACTTGGTCATACCCGAGCGTTTCACCAGGTGTAAGGGGAAGAGCGATCAAACACAATTCAAGACACTTACTCACGACCATTAACATCTCCAGGGAGCATTAGGCTAAGAAATACTGGTGTTTGACTGAATTTCCAATGTTAAACTGTTGAAATGTGAAAACGGTCGATCCAATTATATCACCGTATTCAGGTCATTGGGCAGTTAGTGATTTTGATCAGCTTTGCGCTGTTTAGCGTATGCTACGCGCAATAACCACGTGTCCAAATCGCATGGTTAAATTGATCCAACCGTTGTGGAACACCGGATGGACACATCGATTGCACGTGGTATCATGATTCAATTCAGTGAATGCTTTGTGCATGAATGAGTGAACTATATATATATATGTAAAACGTTTCAACAAAATGAAATACTCCCACTTGTTCCATTCGCTCTCGAACAGTTCGCCACTGAGAACGGTCTCTTAAGCTCGTCACGTTACCTGAAGGAGGACGAAATGGATGGCGAATATTTGGTATGTATATTGCTCAAACAATCGGTCAGGGTTATTCGATTGTTTTGACCTCCATGTAAATCACACACAGGGAGAATGTTAGTGACCCGATTCCGAACGGAAAATAGGGCATTCAAAAAGTGAATATCCAGGACATACACATGTAGTGTTGCACAGATACCTCGTAAATAAATCATGTAGAACGAGGGCAAAATTGTCCAGTGCGTGTGGTTTGAGAGCATGAAAATCAACTAAAACGGCTCCCGTTCTCTGTGAAACAGACCGACAGATCGAACCAACTGGGTTATCGTCTTCTACGATCTCGTCACATATGCACACACAAATCAAAAAGAAAAAGACCGAAATGGAATATACCGGTTCTGGTAAAATCGGTCTTCAGTGCCCGAGTTCCGGAATACTGGAGCGAACAATAGTCCGCATTGTCAGTCCAAACTGCACGAAATCGTGGACCAAACTGAGGCCAAAGTTTGGCCAGCGCAGATGTGGAACTAGCCGAGGCCGATTTGGATCGCATGGTCGTGTCCAGAACACCCAATGTGACCAGAGCTTGTTCGAGCGCGCACCAGGCCAGCATAGATTGGATCACATTAGTCCGATCGAGACAGTCGATGCAATTGCTACGGAATGTGCCGGTTTGCCTGGCTATCACGTGTGAATCCTGAAGATTAAGATGGAATTGTCTGATAAACGAGGGAGAGACAGAGAGAGAGAGAGAGAGAGAGAGAGAGAGAGAGAGAGAGAGAGAGAGAGAGTGGATG